AGCAGGGAGCCCGATACGGGGCTCGATCCCAGGACCCTGAGATCATGACCTGAGCCGAAGGCAGACGCTTAACGACTGAGCCACCCAGGCGCCCCCCCATTCAGTGTAATATTGTGCAGTTGTGAAGAAAGAAGGAGAATGCTTTTCATAACCTGATAAAGATCTCTTAGGTATTTTGTAAAAATGAGAAGAGAGGTAGAAAACAGTATTATGTGCTACCTTTGTGCATCAGAGCAAGAAAATAAGATTATATATTCATGTTCCTTTGTATTTTTATACAGTAAACCTTGCAAGGACATACTAGAGTCTAATGACAGTGATTACTGGGTGGAGGTACTGAGTTGGTCAGTTGGAGGAGGATGGGTGGGGAAGTTTTCACAGTACCACTTCTTTCTATGTATATTTTTACCTTGAACCATCCAAATTCAAAAAACAAATGATATGTATAGAAAGACACCAAGCTAAGGCATCTCAAGGAATCTATCATAATCAATTGTATATGGCTGTATTGGCAAGTGGTTGCCTGGTTTGCTTACCCATCAATAAAGAAACATTAATCACATATATTAATATATGTGGATTACTTGTTTATTTGAAAATTGTATGATTTACTATTACACAAATTGTATTTTGTACCTCAAAGCCACAGACCAAAAAGAAACTAAGACTGTATAATATAAAAATGAAATTAACAGTATTTATTTTAACAGTTACAAACAAGTTTGCTCTCATTAAAATATTAATATACATCATCCTTTTTTGAAAGCTTGATTCAGAGCTTTATGTTGCTGTTATCTGAAGTCTGTTTTTTAGGTTCAGTTGTAATGGTTGTCATAGCCAGAATGACTGAGTATCATGTTTGTCTAGAACTTAGGGGTTCCCCACACATGGGACCTCAGTGCTATGACTGACTAGGTCAGTCTGGGGAAAACTGGGGCGGTCAGGCACACTTGTCATAGGTTAATATCTATCCCCAAGATATATAGGACTAACTTGAAGAAATGATTGTTCGCCAAACCTACTAAGTCATGACACTCATTTCTCAGCATCTCCCATCAATTATGTGAAGGTTTTTGTGTATTTCATCTGCTGAATTTTCATCTTCTCTGATGACAATCAGTTTTTCTTGGGAACCAATCAAAAATATTGCAGATTTATATTTCAAAAAGTGAGTTCAAAGCCCTCTGAAACCCTTCATTTGGAGGATTTTGAAATTGGGAAACTGTTCCCGAATGTTTTTTTTTTTTTTTAAAGATTTTATTTATTTATTTGAGAGAGAGAGAATGAGAGACAGAGAGCATGAGAGGGAGGAGGGTCAGAGGGAGAAGCAGATTCCCCGCCGAGCAGGGAGCCCGATGCGGGACTCGATCCAGGGACTCCAGGATCATGACCTGAGCCGAAGGCAGTCGCTTAACCAACTGAGCCACCCAGGCGCCCCCGAATGTTTTAAATGTATAATTGCGAGAGTTTGTGTAGGGGGCATACATTGTTTATGGCCACAAAATTACTTAAATGAAACCCATTTCTGGATACCCATTAACGAATGCTCTTTGCTACTGTGAGTATCTTTCAAAAAGAAATTATCCCCTTAGTCTTTGTTAGGTGGTCAGCCTTCCTTCCAGAGTTGCTACAAGAGTGTGTCTGATGAATTGCTTGCTCCTTAGAGAGAAGCTCTGCCATGTTCGTGTTGGGCGCTTGTGCTGTTTGTCATATTCAGTCTGTGGTTTTTTTTCAGAGGAATCTTTGAAGTCCGTTGTCCCTTCTCTGCAGGTCAGTTTGGCTAATATTAGATAGTGTAATATTGACTGACCTTAATAAACTGTCCTAGATGCCAGTAGGCCGAAGGACGTTGGAGGGCTTGGCTCTGGTATGGACTTGCCTCTTCCATCAGCCTGCCTCTGGCACGACTGCCACCCCAGGCAGCAGGGGGGCGCCCTTATCAACTTCGGTAGTAACTTATTGAACCTTAATCTCTCTCCTATTTTAGCCAACAAAGAATTAAGACAGTAATAAAAGATTCCTCCCACGTCCAAATGATCATTGCATGCCCCCTGGAGTTTGCACACCCACCCGAGGGCACTGGCAGCTGATGTATTGTCTCTGTCTTTCCAGTGTTTTTCATGGCTTGGTTTCCTGCACACAGAAAAGTTTGTTTCCGGTGTGTTATCCAGAAATATGGTCTAAGCCATGTTTTCTGTGTTCTAGGAGCAAGCCGAGGAAGAAAAGAAGCCCAGGGATGGTGCAACCCCGTTGAGTCACGGTAATCATCACCATCTTTTACAGTTTTAGTACACAATGAATAACTTTTAAATGAAGTTTTTATCAGATAGCTTTAGTTGTTTTAGGTTTATTAATTTAAGTCTATAATCATAGTATCATTTATTGACATTGTGTTAGATTCTGTTCTGTAGACTTTATCAGTCATCTAGGATTTCCGAATAGGTACATCAAGAAAAATTCTGAAGCTCTGACCTCATTTATTTGCCTTTTAAAATGTTTTAAGTAAAACAACTTCTGATTTGTAAACCTTCCCTGAGAACAAGACAATAAGAGATGCTACTTAGTTTATTATAATTCTTTGCTTGAGCTCTTCTCAGAGTAGTTTATTGCATTTGTGCTCTTCCATTGAAGTCATGTTTTAGAGGAGATTGTACATTTGCTCTAAAATGAATATCCCTCATTCTGGTTATTAATACACCAATAAGTTTTAGATAAGAACTTTTTAATATTGAGCTAATTCGCTGATGTTTTTATTTATTTATTTATTTATTTATTTATTTATTTATTTATTTGAGAGAGAGCATGTGCACACGAGTGGGGGGACTGGCAGAGGGAGAGGGAGAGAGAGAATCTTAAGCAGGCTCCATGCCCAGCACGGAGCCTAACACAGGGCTTGATCTCACAACCGTGAGATCATGACCTGAGCCAAAATCAAGAGTTGAATGCTTAACTGACTGAGCCACTCAGGCACCCTTCTGATGTTTTAAACTTAAATCAACAAATGCAGATGATATTTTCCTGGAATATCTATTCCATTATTTTATGATTATTACTACACAAGTAGACAACTGTTATTAAATTTTCTGTAAAATGTAGTTGAATGTCCCAACATTTATGCTACTCTCCAAGGGAAGGAAGCATATACATTTGATAAATCTTTTCTAATGATATTTTAAAAGTATCTTAAATATTTGTTGAATAAGTTTTTTTTAATAAACAATGGAAACAACTAAAAATACTTTGAAAAAAAACAATAAGCAAAATTTGAGGTTTTTAAAGACCATTTTATATTGCTTAGTTTTGGGACAAAATATTGAAAATTTGTGATCTTCCATCTAAATGCTTTTAAAATAAAAGTTGTTTTCTGCTATAAGCAAAATATGCTGCTTTAAATTCTTTTCTTCTCTTGCTGTCAGCCAGTCCCATCATGTTCTTTGCTGAAAAAGCAAAATAGAATGCAGTAATTTGGTAATTATGTAACTTGATGTTCAGCTCCATTGAAATATACTTTAGTTATGCAGCACTGGAATTCTAGAAATAAATTTGGACTGTACCTGGCCCTAACAGTGGGGTTTTTTTAAACATTATTTTTTTCTTGTAAGAGAGAGGTTGTGATTTATTATGTTGTTGTTCTCCTTTGCAGCTATATTTTCACACTAATGCAAATTGTTTTAGATTCTTTTATTCCATGGTTGTTGCAACATTTATTCTAGAAAAAGAAGATGCAGTTAGGCCAACAATTTAAGAATGTTCAGTCCTCAAAACTAAGATTTTTTAGTAATTTAGTATTTAATAGTTCCATTATAGCCAAATATATGTTTATTGTAAATAGTTTTTCAATTTTAATAGGAAGTGACTTTTTCCTGTTGTTCTTCCATTGTCAGACTAGTTTTTATGGTCAGTGGTCCATTCTCAAAAGTTTCACCTGTGGTTTATTCTCAAATCTGAGGTTGTTGCTGTTTGCCTCAACTATTGAACATAGCTCCATGGTTAGAAGAAGGATGGGATTTAGTTTGTGCGTATAGATGCAACAAACTGCTAGTGGAAATGGAAATTGAATTATTTGAGGGGCTTTTGAGGTACTGCTTTTAGTGGGATGAAGGAAACAGTTCCCTTAGTTGCCTACTGTTGTAATAGTACAGTAGGGATTTTCTTCCTATAATTTCTGAAAATTGTTTAATTTTTTTTTCTCTAGGCTTCTTGCAAAACAAAAAAAAAGATTTAGTCACTTACCTGTGTCTTAAAAATAATAACAAAAGCAAAGGAAAAAAAATGTATACATACATATTTATATGTGAACAGAAAGATTGTATTGAAAAATGAACACTTAATTCTTAGTCCTGATTTTACAACAAGGAAGGCATTTCTTTGGAAATCATTACAAAATAATTTATTAAGAGCACAATCTGTGCCACTAATACTGACTCCCGTGTTATAGATGATGAAGATTTGAGAGGCCCTTTGAGTTCTTTAGGGTAAAAAACTAGTGAATGGTGGATCCAGGATTTGAACCCACATCTAGTAATTCTAAAGCTTATGTCCTTTCTGCTTTACATGTTATTTAATGTTCTTCCTTCTTTGTAGCTATTAAGACAAAAGTAGAGAAAATGAATCTTGCTTAGAAATGTGATGGGAGGGCGCCTGGGTGGCTGAGTTGGTTAAGCCACTGCCTTCGGCTCAGGTCATGATCCTGGAGTCCCAGGATCGAGTCCTGCATCAGATTCCCTGCTCAGCAGGGAGTCTGCTTCTCCCTCTGACCCTCCCCCTTCTCATGCTCTCTCTCTGTCTCTCATTCTCTCTCTCAAATAAATAAATAATCTTAAAAAAAAATTTAGAAATGTGATGGGAAAGAACTGCTAATAATTAAGGTGCTAATGCTGTGTAATATCGCCCTTTTTGTCCATGGGAACTGGCTGAACTAGAATTTTCCTGACATAGTCATGCCCTGAGATTAACTTTGGTTCTTTTGGAAACTCTCTGAGCTCTAGTATTCCTGGTGATTCAAAAATTTTAACAATTGTCTTGGATACCCCTAAGAAAAGGTTTGTTTTAGTAAGTATTATTTGTTAATAATTATTTATGACTGAAGGTATCCAATTAGTATTGTCAATCACTCCGTAATCCCAGACCTCTACATTTGAAGTCTCTGAGATAAAAAGAGCTAATTTCTTCAGATTGATGAGTGATCGGGCTTTTCCCCTTCTAAATTTTAAGTGTTCTTTTTAACTAATGCTAATACTTGTTTGGTTGAGTGTTGGGGCAGTGAGGTCTTTATAAACATAAAAAGAATAGAAGAAATTATAAAGGAAAATGAGATATATACACATCCAAATTAAACTTTGTACATCAAAGAACATCATAATAAAAATTAAAATGGAAATAAACCAGCAAATATTTACCACAACTACTGACAGAAGGTCCATACACACAATGGATTTAGAAGAAATGAGATACACTAAGATCTCAGTGCAGAAACAGACAAAAGACATGAACAGGCAATTCATGGAAGACAGAATAAAAGTAGCTAAAACAGAAATGTCTTACTAGAAAGCAAAGAAATACACATTTAAATGTAATGATGAACATTTCTTACCCTCATAATTAACAACAATTAAAAACATGCTGATACCACTTGCTGGTGGGCTGGGGGAGCTGCTCTTGGGAGTACAAGTTGTTCCATTGTTTGGGGGAACATATTGATGGCATTTATTGTTAAATAAACATGTCCTTCAACTCAGCAACTCCACTTTTTGGAATTTCTCCCAATGAAATAAGCCATCTGCATTGAATGTATGCATATGATATTCATTGTGATGCCAATTAGAAATGGAGAAGAGTTGGAAGTAAGTAATGTAAATGTCCAGTGAATTTGGAATAGGTAAAACATTATGGCACAACTGTGTATAGACAGTTGTGTGGTCACTTAAGTGCTTTTGAAAAAAATTAAATTACGTGAGAGGGAAAGCTTTTGATAACATATTAAGGGGGGAAAAGCTCAGGACAGTAATCTCAGTGATGGTTGAAAAAAATCATATATCTATAGCATAGAAAGAAAGATGTTAACAATTATTATCTCTAAGTTGTGAAATAAAAGAATGCTTTCTATAATTTCCAAGGTTTTTTTGTTGTTGTTGTTTTTGCAATTAGTAGGTAATCATGGTACAGTCAGGTAAATATTGAAAAATAAATTTGGAAACTTCTGAACATTAAAAGCTTCAGCTTGTGGAGTGGAGGATGTTGTTGGAATGCCTGTTTTTGGATTTCTTCCTTTTTTTGTAAGTAAACTTTTCGTTTTGGAATAATTTTAGATTTGAGAAAAGTTACATAGTACAAGTAGTCCTGTATGCTCTTCACCGAGTTTCTGCTAACATCCTTATCATATATAACTGTAGGACATTTGTCTAAACTAAGAAATTAACATTGGTACATCACTATCAATAAACTGTGTACTTTATTCAAATTCCACCAACTTTTCTATTAATGCTTTTTCTCTAGATTATCATTAGAGGCCTCTGAGTATCTGGCACTTGACCAGCATCTGCCATTGAACCCTGCCTCCCCCCGTTTTGCTTCAGCCCAACAGAACATGGAGCCTGGGGGCACCTGGGTGGCTCAGTCGGTTAAGTGTCTGCCTTCGGCTCAGGTCATGATCTCAGGGTCCTGAATCCAGCTCCCCTCAGTGGGGAGCCTGCTTCTTCCTCTGCCTGTTGCTCCCTCTGCTTGTGCTCTCTCTCTTTCTCTCTCTCTGACAAATAAGTAAAATCTTAAAAAAAAAATAACATGCATTCTAGACCTTGCTGTCTGAAGAACGGTGTCTTCTACCTGGAGGCTTCTTCTTCTGGCCTTATCCAAGTAGCTGGCTCCTTCAAAACCTCATTATCTTCTCTACTTTGCTTATTTTGTATTTTTCTCCCTCTTCTGTTTCTCTTAGCATACCCTAGGGCATTTGGCTTTTAAAAATTAAGTTATATAATCTGCTATGTCTCCCACTTAAGTTGGGTATCTTTTAAAAAGGCATGTAATCAGGTCCAATCTGGCCAGTAGGATTTATCATTGAGTATACTGAAGTAATAACTTACTAGAGCTCTGAAGGATTAATTAGCTCAATGGCCTGAAGAAGAATTAGCACAGCTTCCAAAAGTGCTTAACTTACTTTCAGGGAGTAGTTTTGGTGCTGAGGGATATGGTCCATGAAGTGATTCTGAAAGATTCGAAGATGGTCCTTTGAGCATTATCCCTGGAGTCTTTTGTTAGAGTAAC